AAAAAAAAAAATGTACACCCTTTTCGTACTTGCCAATTCACAGCCCTGGCACAAACGTCTTTAGCAAAATATTCAAGAGAGAATGGAAAGTACGAACAGGAGCACTTTTCCATCCGCGTTATGCAAATTTGAGGTTTCACCACATTCATTCGCACTTAACATCTCCATATTCGCAAACCTTAATTTCCAATTAGCCTTTCTCACGCCGCCATTTTTGGGTGGCATTTCAGCCGAAGTCTGCAAGATATGTCCACATAACAGCGACTTATTATAACTTTTTCCACGAATGATGGTAAAATTGCTTTGTAAATGGTTAGTTTATTTTGAAAAAATTGCTTTTCACATTGTTTTAATTGTCTGCATTGGTTAAAGAGAATTGGATGACACACAAAAATGGCGGATACTCGTCATCGTGAGAAAGGCTAATTGTTCACCCGGTTAACCACTTTACATTTCATTTTGAACACGAACCACTATGCAGTTCGTATTCAAGATTTTAGAACTGGCATAAATTTAGAAACTGCTACAAAGTATGCCAGAGAAACAACTAATTTTAAGTAGCAAAGATACAACCTAATTAATATTCTAAATTATATCGAAAACAAACTAATTTGGAAAACGGCTTTTATTCCCTTTCTGCCATTGTGCCAAGATTGTCTTTGCTACGGAATTATAGATTTTAACCATGAACATCTCGACACTGGCACAACAAAACCACATTTAAAAAAACTAACATTCCACGATCTGTTTTAACCAGTAAAACTGCTCACTCAGATATATCTCAACATTCGACTTTTTCGCAATTTTCTCAACGACAAAGCTTGTTCCAAAGCTCACGTTGCTAGAGAACTGTAGTATTTTTAACGTAGATTTTAGATATGAAACTTTCGAAACTGGCACAAAATATCGCCCTGGAGCAATTAATGTGAATTAGATCGACAAGAGAGAACTTAATTAATATTCTAATTTATATTGAAAGGAAACTAATTTTCAAAATGGTTTTTCTTCCCTTTCTGCAATTGTGCCAAGATTGTCTTGGCTACGGAATTGTTGTATTTTATATGTAGATTTTAACCATAAAAATCTCGAAACTGGCACAATAAAACCGCATTTAGAAAACTAATATTCCACGATCTGTTTTATACAGTAAAACTGTTGACTCAGCTGTATCCCAACATTCGACTTTTTCGCAATTTGCTCAACAACAAAGCTTGTGCCAAAGCACTCGTTGCTACAGAACTATAGTGTTTTCAACGTAGATTTTAGATATAAAACTTTCGAAACTGGCGCAAAAGATCGCCCTGGAGCAATTAATATTAATTAGACTAGGGAGAACTTAATTAATATTTACTGCGAGCGCCGGTGAGCAGCCCCCTATTCTTGAGATATATCTCGATTTGTACGATTTTTGTTTGTCAGGATGATTTTGAGCACGCGCATGTATGTGCAGCGGTTTCATCATTAGTCATATTTATAACGTGTTTACGTTCGAAAAGTTGTAACTAGAAGGCAAGAACTAGGTAAGTTTTTTTGTTGAAATCATGTCAAATTTAAATTTATTTGTTACTGGAAGCATTCATTAAGGTAGCAAACGGTTTTATAGTGACATTTCACGCGGAAGACAATGTTCTTTTATGAGTTTTTCAGCGTTATTAATATTTGCTCAGACTTTGCCGATCCAACAGTAGACCGCATCTATATAAACGTAGATCAGATTCTTGCTGAGGGAGATCGACTTTTATATCTCGATGCTTTTGAAAGTAGATCCATGCCTGACACAGAGACGTTGTCCCTGGACTACCTGTCCCATGAGATGCGATGGTCTCTTGACGCAAACACTATGCAAATTTATACTAGACAAACAAAGATTCGCTTCAATACCGTCGCTTGCAACTATTATTAAAGGATGAACAGTCGTTGATAAAACATTGTCTATTCTTATGACAAAGTACAATAATTTTACCGAGAAACTTCAATGTTTGTGATGATCATGCATGTAGTCAGCATGGAGCTGGTTAAACGTGATTAGCCGATCAGATTAAAACCTGTCAAGTGTTCTTGACAAACATTGAAGATTCTCACACAAATAGGCAATGTTTTTATCTGCGACTGTCCACCTTAGTTGCAAGCGACGGTATTTGGGCTGAATCAAAAAGGGCGGATGTTGAGTCGCTTATCAGTGTAACTAATTCTGATCTACTGGTGGTAGATCAAAAGTCGTGAAACAACGCACCTTTATGGTTAGTAGATTACAAAGAGTTTTATGAAAGTAGAACTATTAATGCGTTTGACAAGCACAACAATTACAGCTTATGTTTGCGATGTTACTCTGAGTGTATATATCCACACCGGGCGAGCTTGAAAAAGATGCCCGGCCACGGTGGGATTCGAACCTACGACCTTTGGAATACCAGCCCAATGCTCTTCCAACTGAGCTACGGGGTCAGGACGGTTCGAGTAAGTGATATTTCGGAACAGTATCTAGTTCCTTCAATACCAATGTGTTCTAGTAATAGGAACAGCATTGGGCTAGTATTCCAAAGGTCGTAGGTTCGAATCCCACCGTGGCCGGGCATATTTTTCAAGCTCGCCCGGTGTGGATATGCACTCAGAGTAACACCACAAGCGTATTATTCACCTGAGTACACAACACCAGCACGGAAAAAATTCATATTACAAGAACACATTGGTATTGAAGGAACTAGATACTGTTCCGAAATATCACTTACTCGAACCGTCCTCACCGCGTAGCTCAGTTGGAAGAGCATTGGGCTAGTATTCCCAAGGTCGTAGGTTCGAATCCCACCGTGGCCGGGCATATTTTTCAAGCTCGCCCGGTGTGGATATGCACTCAGAGTAACATGGCAAACATATTATTCACCTGAGTACACAACACCAACACAGAGAAAAAAAAAATTCATATTACTAGAACATATTGGTATTGAAGGAACAGCATACTGTTCCGAAATATCACTCACTCAAACCGTCCTGACCGCGTAGCTCAGTTGGAAGAGCATTGGGCTAGTATTCCAAAGGTCGTAGGTTCGAATCCCACCGTGGCCGGGCATATTTTCAAGCTCGCCCGGTGTGGATATGCACTCAGAGTAACATCGCAAACATATTATTCACCTGAGTACAGAACACCAACACAGAAAAAAAAAATTCATATTACTAGAACATATTGGTATTGAAGGAACTAGATACTGTTCCGAAATATCACTTACTCAAACCATGCTGACCGCGTAGCTCAGTTGGAAGAGCATTGGGCTAGTATTCCAAAGGTCGTAGGTTCGAATCCCACCGTGGCCGGGCATATTTTTCAAGCTCGCCCGGTGTGGATATGCACTCAGAGTAACATCGCAAACATATTATTCACCTTAGTACACAACACCAACACAGAGAAAAAAAAATTCATATTACTAGAACATATTTGTATTGAAGGAACTAGATACTGTTCCGAAATATCACTTACTCGAACCGTCCTGACCGCGTAGCTCGGTTGGAAGAGCATTGGGCTGGTATTCCAAAGGTCGTAGGTTCGAATCCCACCGCGGCCGGGCATATTTTTCAAGCTCGCCCGGTGTGGATATGCACTCAGAGTAACATCGCAAACATATTATTCCCCTGAGTACACAACACCAACACAGAAAAATTCATATTACTAGAACACATTGGTATTGAAGGAACTAGATACTGTTCCGAAATATCACTTACTCGAACCGTCCTGACCGCGTAGCTCAGTTGGAAGAGCATTGGGCTAGTATTCCAAAGGTCGTAGGTTCGAATCCCACTGTGGCCGGGCATATTTTTCAAGCTTGCCCGGTGTGGATATGCACTCAGAGTAACATGGCAAACATATTATTCACCTGAGTACACAACACCAACACAGAGAAAAAAAAAATCATATTACTAGAACATATTGGTATTGAAGGAACCAGATACTGTTCCGAAATATCACTTACTCAAACCATCCTGACCGCGTAGCTCAGTTGGAAGAGCATTGGGCCAGTATTCCAAAGGTCGTAGGTTCGAATCCTACCGTGGCCGGGCATATTTTTCAAGCTTGCCCGGTGTGGATATGCACTCAGAGTAACATGGCAAACATATTATTCACCTGAGTACACAACACCAACACAGGAAAAAAAAATTCATATTAGTAGAACATATTGGTATTGAAGGAACTAGATACTGTTCCGAAATATCACTTACTCGAACCGTCCTGACCGCGTAGCTCAGTTGGAAGAGCATTGGGCTAGTATTCCAAAGGTCCGTAGGTTCGAATCCCACCGTGGCCGGGCATATTTTTCAAGCTCGCCCGGTGTGGATATGCACTCAGAGTAACATCCCAAAACATATTATTCACCTGAGTACACAACACCAGCACAGGAAAAAAATCATATTACAAGAACACATTGGTATTGAAGGAACTAGATACTGTTCCGAAATATCACTTACTCGAACCGTCCTCACCGCGTAGCTCAGTTGGAAGAGCATTGGGCCAGTATTCCAAAGGTCGTAGGTTCGAATCCCACCGTGGCCGGGCATATTTTTCAAGCTCGCCCGGTATGGATATGCACTCAGAGTAACATCGCAAACATATTATTCACCTGAGTACACAACACCAACGCAGAAAAAAATTCATATTACAAGAACACATTGGTATTGAAGGAACTAGATACTGTTCTGAAATATCACTTACTCGAACCGTCCTGACCGCGTAGCTCAGTTGGAAGAGCATTGGGCTAGTATTCCAAAGGTCGTAGGTTCGAGTCGGGCCGTGGCCGGGCATGTTTTTCAAGCTCGCCCGGTGTGGATATGCACTCAGAGTAACATCGCAAACATATTATTCACCTGAGTACAGAACACCAACACAGAGAAGAAAAAAATTCCTATTACTAGAACATATTGGTATTGAAGGAACTAGATACTGTGCCGAAATATCACTTACTCGAACCGTCCTGACCACGTAGCTCAGTTGGAAGAGCATTGGGCTAGTATTCCAAAGCTCGTAGGTTCGAATCCCACCGTGGCCGGGCATATTTTTCAAGCTCGCGCGGTGTGGATATGCACTCAGAGTAACATGGCAAACATATTATTCACCTGAGTACACAACACCAACACAGAGAAAAAAAAAATTCATATTACCAGAACATATTGGTATTGAAGGAACCAGATACTGTTCCGAAATATCACTTACTCGAACCGTCCTGACCGCGTAGCTCAGTTGGAAGAGCATTGGGCTAGTATTCCAAAGGTCGTAGGTTCGAATCCTACCGTGGTCGGGCATATTTTTCAAGCTCGGCCGGTGTGGATATCCACTTAGAGTAACATCGCAAACATATTATATTCACCTGAGTACACAACACCAACACAGAGAAAAAAAAATTAATATTACTAGAACATATTGGTATTGAAGAAACTAGATACTGTTCCGAAATATCACTTACTCGAACCGTCCTCACCGCGTAGCTCAGTTGGAAGAGCATTGGGCTAGTATTCCAAAGGTCGTAGGTTCGACTCCCACCGTGGCCGGGCATATTTTCAAGCTCGCCCGGTGTGGATATGCACTCAGAGTAACATGGCAAACATATTATTCACCTGAGTACACAACACCAACACAGGAAAAAAATTCATATTACTAGAACATATTGGTATTGAAGGAACTAGATACTGTTCCGAAATATCACTTACTCGAACCATGCTGACCGCGTAGCTCAGTTGGAAGAGCATTGGGCTAGTATTCCAAAGGTTGTAGGTTCGAATCCCACCGTCGCCGGGCATATTTTTCAAGCTCGCCCGGTGTGGATATGCACTCTGAGTAACATCGCAAACATATTATTCACCTGAGTACACAACACCAACACAGGAAAAAAAATTCATATTAGTAGAACATATTGGTATTGAAGGAACTAGATACTGTTCCGAAATATCACTTACTCGAACCGTCCTGACCGCGTAGCTCAGTTGGAAGAGCATTGGGCTAGTATTCCAAAGGTCGTAGGTTCGAATCCCGCCGTGGCCAGGCATATTTTTCGAGCTCGCCCGGTGTGGATATGCACTCTGAGTAACATCGCAAACATATTATTCACCTGAGTACACAACACCAACACAGAAAAATTCATATTAGTAAGAACACATTGGTATAGAAGGAACTAGATACTGTTCCGAAATATCACTTACTCGAACCGTCCTGACCGCGTAGCTCAGTTGGAAGAGCATTGGGCTAATATTCCAAAGGTCGTAGGTTCGAATCCCACCGTGGCCGGGCATATTTTTCGAGCCCGCCCGGTGTGGATATGCACTCAGAGTAACATCGCAAACATATTATTTACCTGAGTACACAACACCAACACAGAAAAATTCATATTATTCGTCCTTGTTTGCATTACTATATTAATTAGTTATTCGCATAGTAAAGCATATAATGATTCGCTGCTCTTGGATAATATCTTGCGCGCGTATTGCACGCGCGATCTGTCAGTAATGCGTCTGTTAGAATATGCGCCCCTTGTGTGAGAATTTTAGTGAATTCGGGCGATTGCTTCAAATCAAACTATAGTATATATGAGCGACAGGATTATTTTGGAATATACAATGCAAAGAAGTCGGTATATTATTCAATTTTTATGTAATAATTGGCTATTTGTATAGCAATAAGTATTGTATCATTTGCGACAGCTGACCTTTGAACTGCTGATAAATAAAAGCTTCTTATAGTGCGCTATCTTGCGATTATTCACTATTAATTGTTGATTGTTTCTTATTTTCAATGAAAATTGCTTGTGAATTATAAATTCATTATCGCACGTACAGATTAGTCGGTCTTTTCCACCATGGCATGCTTCCCTCCCATGCTCCCAAGCATTAATTCTGCTTCATGATATCGGCTTGAATGAGCAATGAATGTTGTTATTGGAAATATAATATCCCTTACAATAAGCGGCAGACTGTTTCATTATGGCGCGTGAAATTCATCACGCGAAAAACGCGTTCGACTTGCAGCAGGGTAATTTGACGAAATTTTGCTATTTTTATTAGCTAAAAACATTAACAAGGGAACAAAGTTTCCTGCGTTAATTTGGAAATCGTACATTTATTTGTAGATAACATTTAATGACACGATTAACATTCGTTTGATGCCGATCGTCGTAATATAGCCGCATAAAATAATGAAACGAAGCCTAAATGTAAACTTTCCAGATTCATTCAATAAACAGTGATATCATGTGTGAATGATTATCGCAATTCTGCGTCCTCTTAGTAACGAATTATACTGTTACACAGCCTCTGAATAAAACGTATCAATTTTTGTGTTGTTTTTCGAAATATACATCACGTCATCGTTGCCATGACAACGAAAAGCAGGTCAACTTTTAGAATCTCCTTTGATAAATCATATAAAACTTGAATGGTAATAATCAAGGCCATACTTATTTTTTTTATGATTTTTTGTCTATTTTCGCTAAATACACAAACTGAAACCCAGGCATTAACATACCTGAGTGTTATTTGTACATCTACGTATGCTTTTGCGACGTTTTTACTCGTTGATTTTGCCCAACCCTGGCGTTCAAGTAGCATATAATAAGTATTTGTCGAAATATGGCGGTGAAACCTTCGAAAAAACGCTTTATACAGTGTGCATTGGATACACAAAATATGTCGCCTCCATTTCCACTCACGTGAAAATAGGCAGTGTCACGTGTCTGTTCTGGCTGCCCTACTCGAAAATCGGGGTAATCAGAACAGTTCAGAAAAGTCATGTGACTCTTTTCTGTTCCATTCCATTAGTGTTCCAAAAATCCGGAATACTCCGAACAGTAAATGCAGCAGCTTGTCTGTGTCATGCCACTACAAAACCGGCGAATAGGCATACTCTGAGAAATAGATTTCGTTGCGACTCACTATATAGCAAAGTTGTTCGCAAAAGAAGACCCCGTTCGATTGTAGTTTTACGTGGTTTGAAACCATTAAACGGTTGCAGTTTTCTCAAAGCTCCCAAAATTTAAGTTTTAGCGCAAAGTACGTAATACAAGAGTCTTATTATGACCAACCATACTTAATATAGACGGCCACCCTGATATCGATTTCATGTCAATTTTGAATTAACTTATTAAAATGGGCGGCACTAAAAAACATATGGATATCAGGCAGCCGGTTTTTCAAGCCGGCCCTTTATCCGCCCGGCAGTTCTCCCGCCCTAATTTTCCCGCCCACAAGTTCTCCCCCAAAATCCGCCTACGCAGGTTAATGCTACATGCTACGCAGGCTAAAGTTATGCAGGAATTTTATTGAAAACTCGTCACAAAATATAAACAACAGCAGGAGACAGATACATCAACTGGCATTTCCTAATATTAATTAGCAGTTCTCAAATTTCTGAACGGAAAATACAGTCATCCAGGTATGTTTCAAAATTGCCAAAGTAATTAGTACCTAACTCATTTTAAACTTGTCATTGTTCGTTATTACAGTATATAAAAATGGTGATATTCATGAAGTTTCGATAATGAAACTACCCCCTGTTTTCACATAGTTCCAAAATTTCTCTGCAGAGCAACGAACAAACTCTGCAAATCAAAGAAATTTAGAGGAAATTCATTAACAATTCATTATGAAAACATAGCCTGCCTATGTACGATAAATTACCTATAAAATGTTTGTATATATGCTGATACACAACAACTTATTAGGCATCATTATTCCGAAACAACCCACTGAGCCAGATAATTCCGCTCGATTCATGCGGTCATTTGTACGAGTCCAGAAGAACTTTGGAAAACATATGGAAGAAATTGAATTGATTTGAATTCTGTCAATGATTTTTGTGCTTGGTCTAAGTCCTATAAAGCACAGTTATCTCCATAATATTAGTTCAGAACATCGTTGTAAGTATCTCTTAACTAATAATTATTGACGCATTGTCTTAACCTGCACCCACGCAGATCATGCAGTAGAATGACATATAGTAAAGAATATAAACACCTGTTATATACTGTCAGCTTATACCGCCAAATCCTAAACACAGGCAGTGGAATATTATTAGTTTGAAGACAACGTGATTTCATTTTAATATAATAATGGATTGTTTTAATATAACATACCAATAACCTAATGCACAGAGCAAATGGATCTGGTTACATTGATTCCACGAATTCGTATAATAAATATGAGAGCCCAACATATAACTTTTAACAAAGCCATTAAAACAGTTTTAAAAGATTGTAAAGAATTTTAATTGTAACGTTTCGTCTAAAAAATGTTCTGTATAAAAATGTTCTGTATTTAATTTATA